AACTACTGATACATGTAAACATGGATGAATCTTTAAACAATCATGCTGAATGAAAAAAGCCAGACCCCATCTCACACACACAGAAAGAGCAGATACTGTAAGATTCCATATTCACAATATTCTAGAAAATACAAACTAATCTATAGTATCAGGAAACAGACCAGTGCTTGCTGGGGCATGGGGAAGTGGTGAGTGAGTGATTATAAAAAGGCACAAGGAAAATTTGGGGGGTGATGGATATGTTCACTATCTTGATTGTGGCGATGGTTTCATGGGTGCATACAAAGGTCAAAACATCAAATTGTTTACTTTAAATATAGGCACATATTTTAAATTATGACTATGATTAACAAACCACTGACTGAATTTGGGCTACTTCCCTAACCATAGGACTGTAGTTCTCTGCCCTTGAAGGGTCAGTTTTAGGAGTGGCATTGAAAGCCAGGTAAACTCCTAGGGAATTTTGGATAGAAGTTATCAGAAAACAGGAACCTGAAAGCAAATTAACTCTACAAACTACCCTAGGTCTTCAAATAATTTAGATGCCTTTCCAAGAAAGAGAAGTTTCAAATAAAGACATCATTCTTTTGTAAAGGAAGAAACATCTCAACACTGTAATGTTCTTTGGTTCATTGCATAGTTTTTGGATAGTCTTAATGTATTTTAACAAAGGACAGGCACAGTAACTTATTTTTTTAAAAAATCAAACCATGTAATTTACCACATTATCAGAATAAATGATAAGAATCATAGAACCATCTCAATAGATGTAGAAAAAACACATAACACGAATTTAGGATAAAAACTCTCGGTAAACTAAAAACACAAGGTAACTTTTTCAGCTGATAAAGGGGCATTTATGAAAAGCTATTTCAGCTAACACGATACTTAATGATGAAAATGATGATATTTAATGATGAAAAACTGAACCCTATGATTGCGAACCAGGCAGAGATATTCACTCATTTCATTTATTGGACATTGAACTGGAGGTGCCTAATTAGCATAATGAAGAAAAAGAATAATAAAAGAAAAAAAGAAGTAAAGCTGTCTTTATTAGCAGATGACATCAGTATGTACAAGGAAAATTCTAAGAAATTTACAAAAAAAGCTTTTAGAAGTATGAATGAATTTAGTAAAGTTGCAGGATATAAATTCAGTATACAAAATCAATTCTGTTTATATGTAACAGCAATAAAAACAGGAAATTAAAAAATCACAGTAGCATTAAAAAACCCATAAAATACATAGATATGATTTAATGAAATATAATTTAATGAAAATACAAACTATTGCTGAGAGAAATTTAAATAGACCTAAACCAATGGAGAGACATACCATGTTCATGGATTGGAAGATACAGTAATATTATGATGTCTATTCTCCCCAGATTGGTCTATAGATAGTGTAATCCTAAACAAAATCCCAGTTGGATTCTTTGTAGAAACTGGCAAGAAGACTAACATTTATATTGAAAAGCAAAATTCCTAGAATAGACAAATATTTTTAAAACATACAAAGCTAAAAAAACTGAGAGCACCTGATTTAATACTTACTATAAAACTCCAGTAAATAAGACCATGGCATAAACACAAATAAATCAGTGGAACAGAAATAAACTCACACTTACTCATGAATTCAACTGATTTTCAACAAAGGTCCAATACAATAGGAAAAGGACAATGATTTCAACAAACAGTGTTGAAACAACCAGATATCCATATGGAATAAAGTGAATCTCAAATCATACCTCTCATCATTCACAAAAACCAGCTTGAAATGGATCACAGACCTAAGTGCAAACGCTGAAAGTATAATGCTTCTAAGAGACAATAAAAGAAAATAATTTCTCTCACCTTGAAGTAGGCAAGGACATCCTATGAAGGACCCAGAAGACACTAACCATAGGGGAAAAAATGTTTAATTAGACTTTATTAACGTGAAAAACAACTGCTCATCAAAAGATACTGTATGAAAATCAACAGGCACACCAAAGACTGGGAGAAAATGTTCACAATATATACATCTGATAAAGAATCCGGATCCAGAATATATAAAGAACTCCTACAATTTAACAATAAAAAGACAACCCAACCAAAAAATAGGCAAAAGACTTAAACGATTCCCCAAGTAAAATATACAAATGGCCAGTAAGCAAGTGAAAAAACTGCTCAAAATCATTAGTCATCAGGAAAATACAAATTAACACCACAGTGAAATGCCACTACACACTCACCATAATAGCTAGAAATAAATAGCTTCCTACCACCAAATGTTGGGAAGAATGCAGAGCAAGTGGAACTCCCATCCATGGCCGGTGGGAGTCTAAGGTGCTGTAGCTGTCTTGGGAAATTGTCTGTCAGTTCTTAAAAAGGTAAACATACTCTCCCCTACGACCCAACAATTCTACTCTTTGGAATTCATCCAAGAGAAATGAACACATATGCCCACAAAAAGCCTCATACAAGCATTTTCATAACAGCTTTATTCATAGTAGCCTAAAACTGGAAACAACTCAAATGAATGAGCAAATGGCTAAACACACTGTGGTATTTTCACACAACAGAGTATTGCTCAGCAGTAAAAAAGAACGAACTGATATATACAACATGTATGAATCTTAAAAACATTTTGCTAAGCAAAAGCAGTCAGACCCAAAAGAGTACATATTACATGATGCCAGTTGTAAGATCTCCTTCCACAGTCAGCCCAGGACCTTCTGAATGCTCTTGCCAAAACTGGAGGCGGGGTTCTCAAGGACTGGCCCTGGGTACTACTTGATGAAGCCATCAAATCTAGACCCCAGTTCCACACAGAACCCATGGATATAACAAATCTCTAGATCCAAAGGCCACTGGGGGGTGGGGGCGCTATTTCTTGTTCAGCCTTAGGGAATCAATTCTCTGCTGCACATGCCTTAATTTCTCACTCTGCATTTTAAACACAGATGATCCTGGAGTCCCCAGACTTCAGGAATAGGAAGAAATGCAGAGTAATAGAGGAGAGATGCACTCAACAAACAGATGCAGAATGACAAAGAAAGAGAGTCCACAACAGAGAGAATAAGAAAATGAAGAACAGAGAAAGAGGAGACAGCCTTTCAGGAACAAAGCACCTGGATAGCAGGGAAGAAATCAGGGTGCAACCAAAGCATCCCTTCCTGCTGTGCCATCTGACATGTGATGCAGGGGAACTTCACGGTTAAGAGTACGGGCCTGCAGCTCTCCTGCCAGGGTTCAAAGCCAAGCTCCCCTCTTATTAACTCCATGACCTTACTCAACTTGTTTCAGAAGAGCCATGTGAAGGAAGAGCAGAAACTGCACTGAAGGTTTTCTCCAAAGGCAGAAACCCAGGTTGCAGGCTGGCTTCGTGACTAACACCTAACTGTAAGTGCATTCTGGGTAGCATCTCTTCTGGGCACCAGGGAGCAGGGCAGTTGCTGCTTCCCTGGAGAGCACAGGTGGAGTGCCCATGCACTGCGGCCCCTGTCCCTGCTTGTGGAAAGCAGGATCCCCAGAGGGGTCTGGGCCTTGGAGCTCAAGCCCAGCCACATAACAGCCCTGATGTCTCAGCACCAGCACCATTAGTAGCTCAAGTGGATGGGTTGGTGCTCTCCCCGACACAGGACTGGCCATGTGGTGGGCGCTAAATAACCATACATCCTGAGCCTGAGTGGCAGGACAGGCTCCTCTAGCTGGGCCACCAGATGCCCACCTGAGGGTCTCCTTTTGCTGCAGATGCCTGGAATCCAGACACCTGGGCTGAAAGGACCTCAAGAGCTCCTACAGGTGGAGCTCCCACAGGTCTGAGCCCAGAGAAGAGAGGTGTCAGGCACAAGGTCACCCAGCAGTCAGGGGCTGAGAAAGACAAGAATCTTAGCCCAGTGTTCACTTCAGGAACCCACAGGGAGTCACCTCAGCCCTGCCCCTCTGCCCAGCAGGCAAGAATTCCCGCGGAAGCTGGCTCCGCCACCTCTAGGCTCTGGACTCCTCCCCTAGTCCACCTGAAAGCCCTCTGGGGCCACCTGCCTGTGCAGCTCCTGTCAGGGCTCCAAGAGGGTCACGCCTCCCACACTGTAGGCATCTTGAGCCCTGATGATCTTGCAAATTCCCTCCTCCTCCCTGGGCCTAAATCTTCCCATCCATAGACTGTGGAGTGGGATCCCCAGAGCTCTGCTGTGACAAACAAAAGCAGGGATACTCTTGGACACCTCCCACACATCCCACCCTACTGCCCTGCGACTCTGGTTAAGCCCCACTCTGTCAGAACTCTGGTTGAGGACTGAGGGCCCGGTTAGCCCTGGGGACCTAAGAATGGAGTCCCCTCTGACATCCAGAGGGGAGCTGGGAAATCAGCTGCATCAGGAGAATGGAAGGCCAGGATGTCTCCGTGGGAAGGGTCCTTAGGACCCTTTCCCTTCCAGGCCAGGGGGGTAGAATCAACCGGGGGTCAGAGATAGGAGGGGGCCTGCCCAAGGCCACACACAAGCCTGTGACCCTACTGGGACTAACACCTGGGGCTTCCAAGGCCTGGCTTGGTGTTCCTTCTGACTTTTTACCACTTCTACCTCCAAGGGCAAAGCTGTCTTTTGTAGCTGACGAGTCACCCACTAGCCTGGGTTAAGCACTACACCGGTTCACACTGACGCTGCATCACCCAGTGCTGGATGTGGAGGAGGGGGCTCAGGAACCATATGATTTGAAGGTGCTTAGAAGAGATGGGGACAGAGCGACTGGACTTGGACAAGTGATGCCCACCATTCCTAACCCAAAACCCACGTGGGCCTCAGGCCTCTGAGACCACTGAGGGAAGACTCAGGCTCTCCTGGCTCAAGGGTGGGGCTTTCTCATCTATGGCAGTCAGGTGGCCCCAGGTAGGACCAGGACACCTAGAGACTGACCCAGAACAAGTCCACCTTTGCTTTCACCCTCCCCTGGCAAAACTCCAGGCCCCCAGTCTATGGCTGGACACCCCCTCCCCCAGCCAGAGAAGGTACTCACTAATGGGGGCGTGTAAGGCCACGTGCTCCTGGTAGGGCGTGTAGTACTTGTACTGCTTTCCACAGAATTCACAGGTGTAATTGCCGGTTTCTGTCCGAGGAGAAAAAAGTGTGGGAATGGGCCCCTCCAGAAGCAGCAGCATGCTCCCTCCCCCTAAATGCCTCCTCATTCTGGGACCACCAGTTAGAATCAGGAGCCCACCTGAGTCAGACTCCCTGGGTTCAAATCCCAGATCCTCTATTTAAAGTTGTGTGACTTCAGGCAAATCTCTTAACCTTTCTGTGCCTCAGTCTTCCTATCTATAAAATGGGGGTAACAGTAGGACCACCTTCTAATAGGATTGCTGTGAGGATTAAATTTGTATGTCACGTGCTTAGAACAGTACCTGGCACACGCTGTCCTCCTCCATCACTCCACCCCTGCGCCCCGGTGCTCAGGAAACATAGGTGACCTGAGTTGACCTCCAGTATCAACCTCTCCATCAGCCCCTCTACAAGCCCTGCCCTCTGCAATGGCCACATAAGGGTCCCCTTATCTCCAGGAACTTCCCGGCCCCCAAGCACCCCCCACCCTCAGATAGAAGGGGCCACATCTTCCTCTCGGGTCCCACCGGACTTCATCTTTACCTCTCTTTTGGCACTGCCTAACTTCTTTCTTCTTAAAAATTTCTGATGTAATACTGTTCACTGGGGGAAAATTATAAAATACTGATAAATACAAATACAAAATTTTAAATATAAGAGAAACTTCAATCATCTATAATTCCCAAAGAGTAGCAGCTACCCCTTGGGGTAGAGTGTGCACCTGGCCACTTGCCCCAGACCCCACCCCTCACTCCCATCTCATCCAGGGTGTGCTTCTCTCACTGACGTCAGCTGTCTGGCTCCTATGGGCCTTGAATTAGCCAGCCCTGATCTATACGCTCTTTGTAACCTGACGCACTCAATCGACAATCTTTTGTGGACATCTTGCTCAAATCAATAAACATCGATCTTTACTGCATTTATTGGCTGCCTGGTTCCCACTGGACTCTGGAATTTGCTGAGCCAGTCTCCTAAACCAGAGGACATTTAGATTGCTTCAAAATTTTTTCCCTTATTAAAAAAAAATGCTGGGACCCACATCCTTGTAGAAATTTTTGCACACCTGCTCATTATTTTTGCGTATCACTGCAAAATAAAGATTACTGCTCATAATCTGTGCACATTATTTCCTCAGGATAAATCAAGCGTGTGCATTTTTAAGGCTTTTGATCACCATAGCATCAACTACTCATTGAAAGGCTGGGCCAATTTCCATCCCAATCAGAAAGATGTGAAAATGACTGTTTCCATGTACTGCAGCCAGTACTGTCAGTCTTACGGACCTGCCAGGGAGAACTACACTGCAGCTGCTGGCTTTCTTCCCCATTTCTTTGAGCTCTAAGGAAACTGACTATTTTTCAGGATTAATCAACGGTGGTTTTTCTTTTACGGTTTTCCTGTTTGTGTTTACAGTCAATGTTTCTACAGGTATTTTCACCTTTCTAAATTGCTAAGAACTCTGTAGATGAAGGACAGCAACATTTTGCTCTATATGTGATAGGCATTTTTTCTCAATCGGTTTCCTTAGTCTGGCCATGGGGTTGTTTTTCTTTTCACACAATACAGAAGCTTTAAAATTTTTGGTAGTTAAATAATTTTTGTAACTGATTCATGAACACTGGTAAAGATATATTATTTGCTCTTCGTAGGCTTTGAAGCTGTTTGATCAACTGTATTAATTGTGTTACTCAAACTCTATATGATCTTGTTTCTCTCCTTGCTCCATCAAAGATTAAATGTTGTGATCAATCCCACATCATCTCATTGTCTTCCTGAATTTATTTTGTATATTTAGATATAATGTTGTTTGATGCATGTAGGCTCTTGAGATCAAAACCTTTATTAAGATTACACTAATTTCTAACACAGTGCTTCTCAAAATGTGGTCCCTATCTGCAGCAACTGCAGACCAGTTAGAAATGCAAATTCTCAGGACCTATCCCAGACTGAAAAGAAAAATTCCAGGGATGGGATCCAGCAAAACTGTTTTAACACGTCCTGTAGAAAATCCTGCAGTGTGGGAAAGTTCAGAACCACTGCTCTAACATTTAATTACACTGTTTTACTAGTTCACCTGGTATTAGTGTAATTAATTCTTGATAATTCGTTAGATCATCCTTTTTGCTGGTTTTCATGTGTCTAAAGCCATTTCCCTAAATTTTCTTGCACTTTTATTCATCCAACAGATACTGTGCTAAAAGCTGGCACAAAATATCGAGCAAAAACAGTCATGGCTCCTGCCTTCAAGGAGATTATAGTCTAGAAAAGGAGATAGAAAAATTTAAAAAATCACACACAGAAAATTAAAACCGCAACCACAATGGGTGGTGTTCTTAAGGAGACATTCACAGTACTGTGAAAATCCTAGCAGGGAATTCAATTTAGTTAATGGAGTAGAAAAGAGTTCCCTGAGGAATAGAAAAGTAAAAGATAAGGAATTAACTAGCTATGTCTCTAATAAACCATCAATAATTGGACCATTTTAAATCAACATGAGAATCTTCGTCTTCTAATAAAGAAAACTGTACCATTTGCGTTTATTGCTGTACTGAGTGGCTTTACTTGTTATATGATTCTTTCCCTTTCGTATTCTTCCCTTTCTGGTTTATTCCCTTAGTTCTCAGTTGTCTGATACAGGAACTCTTTTCTTTGCCTGCCCATTACTCCCCAATATTCCATCGTCCTCCAATATTTTCCATTGCTTTAGATAGTGCATAAGATATATTTCTCTAATTATTATAGGCAAGCAGGAATTGATATCTGCACATCTACTGCCACTGAGAAAAGCAGTTTAACTCCGTGCTTCTCAAACTTCAGCCTGAATAAGAATCATCTAGAAAGACTGTTACAACGCAGACTTCTGAGTCCCACCTCGGAGATTGATTCCACACGGCTGGCGTGGGGCCTGAGAACTGACATTTGTTTTGTTTTGTTTTGTTTTTGAGGGGGGAAGTAATTAGGTTTATTTATTTACTTACTTAGTGGAAGTACTGGGAATTGAACCCAGGACCTCGCGCATGCTAAACATGAGCTATACCCTCCCCCACTGAGAACTGACATTTCTAACAAACTTCTAGGAGATGCTGACGCTGCTGGGCTGGAGACCACACTGTGTAGAACTGGTTTAGTCTACTTTACTGTATCCCTCACCGTTTCCTTCCTTCTTGGTTTTTAAAATTCATTTTTAGTACTTTAGAACGATCTCTGTCTTTTGCATTCAATTTTACCATCAGCTTTGCAACATTTTAAACTTACTCTGGTTTGCCTGGCTTCAAGATTCACCACCAGTCCTCTTATACTACAATTAAAGTCTCATAACTAAGCCCTTACATGTGCTCAACCACTCAGTTCATTGGAGTATATCTTCAAGTAATTTTTTGAAGATGGGTACACAGGAGAAATGGCATGTCTTTGAGCTCTTGTTTTTTTCTTCACATATAAATTACAATTTGTCTAGGTGTAAAATTCTTAGATTACAACCTTTCCTCTTCAGAACTTATTTATTCCACACTCTTTTGGCATTTAGTATTGCAGGGAAGTCAAAGGCAAGTCCACCTTGGAGTCATTTGTAAGTAACTTGCTTTTTTACTTCTAGGTGCCTGTATAGTTTCCCCCCTATATTTACAGTTTAAAAAGTCATTAAGATCTATTTAGTTATGGGTCTTTTTATAGTGACTCTACCTGACATATGACAAACCCTCAAATCTGCCTACACAGGTCTTCCTTTAGCTGAGCAATTTTTTCTTCTATTTTATCTTTGGAGAATTTCTTCTGTCCCACCAATGGAGTACCACCAATTATCTGGAACAGGTTCCTCATTCTCCAAGTTTATCATCTTTTCCTCTCATTATGCTTGTCTGTTCAAGTTTGTCCCTCACATCGTTAATTTTATTTCTGCTGATCAGTTCTGCTCTTTATTATCTGCAATGTAGGTTTTAATTCTGTTTGTATATCTTCTGCTTCTTTTTAATTCTTCTCATCTCACTCCTTTCTCTCTGTCTTTTCATTTTATCTTGCTGCTTTCTCACTGTACAGCTTCCTTTTTTCATGGAGGTCACGCTACAAACTGAACTGTTCCCCTCCAAATTCAGATGCTGATGCCCTATCTCCAAAACCAGTGTTGATGTCCCGTCTCCCAGTGTGCAGGTATTTGGAGATGGGGTAATTAGGTTTAGATGAGGTCATGTGGGTGGGGGACCCTCTTGATCGGATTAGTGCCTTCATAGCAAGAGACACCAGGGAGCTGGCTCCCTTTCTCTTCTTACCATGTGAGGACACAGCCAGGAAGGGGGTCCTTGGATCAGAACCCATCCATACTGGCACCCTCATTTCCGACTTCCAGCCGCCAGAACTAAGAGAAAATAAATTTCTGTTTATTTACGCCACCCAGTCTACGGTAGTTTGTTCTGGCAGCCCGAGTGGACTAAGACAGGTCATATTTTCTCCTACTTGACTGTGGCTGTCAAACAGAACTTTCTTCTAGACTGTGGTAGATCATTTTCAGAGGCACACTCTTCCTCTGAGTCTCCTAAATTCCTTTTCTTGTCATGCTGAATTTTCATAGTTCCCAGGTTTGTTTTGTTTTGTTTGTTTATTTATCCAAGTCACTCTTCTTAATCCAGGTATAAAAAAAATCAAGTAAGCTATAAATAAATGCAGACTTACTGTGTTTCAATAGACATGAATGAACTGTCCTTGATCATCCTAGATATACTGTAGACCTTTATACCATGGGAGTAATTCTCAGGTCTGCAGCTGAAGAGCCAGCTGACAGGCAACTCCCTCCTTCTAGCAGGATTCCTCTGCTCCATCACAGCTCTGGCTTCCTCCTCTCTGAGTACCAAACTCTCCAGCTGATGTAGATGTGGAGGGCGTACTTCTCAGCATGCACTGCTGATGCGGTTTCTCCTCTTCCCCTGACCTGCAGATCTCTACTCATGGGGACTAGTTCCTCCACAGTGCTCTGTGCCTCTGCTGGCCCCCCGTATTCTATGCCTTGTCACTCTCAGGGTTCTGAGGCACTGGCCAGCTTACCAGAAGTGGCAGAAGCCCAAGAAGCAGCATTCTTGTCTCATAAGGCAGCCCCTGAGTGGTAACAAGGGACAGCCTCCCACTCTGCTAGAAATCTCAGTTCCATGGCATCCAGCTGGGAGCACGCAAGGAGCCAAACTCAGCTCAGTTTTTCTCAATGCAGTTCCCTCCTCCATATAATCTGTGATCATTCCTTCAAAGTCCTAGCACTGGTTGTCTGTCAGACTTAGTTACAATCAGAGAGAACAAGTTTCATCTTGCTCTGTACCTTTCTGGTTAATTAATAGGTACCACTTATTTAATGCTTTCCATGTAAATGTCAAGGACTACACTAATTCCTTTACAGATACAATCTCATCTAATCTCCATGACAATCCTGAGAGGTGAGTTTTATTGTCATCACTGTGATTAGAGAGATTATAAGACTTGCAGGATGTCACACAGGCATTAAGTACAAGAGCTGGGGTTCATCTTAGGCATGGCTCTAAAGCTCTCACTCTTGACTCTGTGGGCAACCTTGCTCATTTGTTAAACCCTGAATACAAGCCAGGCTCCTGATGCAGGCATCCCAAAACAACACTGCAGAATAGACAGGAGCGCCTGTTCCCAATTTATGGATAAGTCAAAGGACACTCGCAGAGGGTAAGCAGCTAGTAAACTGGTGATGCCAGCATTCAAACCTGGTCCTGTCTGATTTCAAAGCCTGTTTTCTTCATTATGATGCTTCAGATGGAAGGGGTACTACACTGGGGCAGATACTGAAGTGGGGAGGTCACAGATCCCGATGTCCTTGCCCCGTGTTGGTCTATGAATGTTCATCATGGAACACGTCTGATTCACATCTGAGTTTTCCCACAGTCTAACTTCTAGCAGTTTCAGTGTTAAGAATTTCCTCATTTTCTTCAAGATTATTCTAATGCTACTGTTTATCGAATGTTTACCATGCCTGCGACAAGCACTTGTAACCACTTCACAGATATTATCACGTCTCCCGTTTCCTGAGTGCTTTAAGGAAAGCAGAGGATCATCCCTATGAGGAAGGAGGAGGACAAAGCGCCAGGGGCCCATCCCACGCCTTCCAGGGGCCAGGACCAAGCTCTGCCCGCTGAGGCTTGTCTCTGGCTTCATGGTTCCAGCTCCCTTGACTCTCCCTCCCTAAACTTCCTCATCCATTCATTCTGTCTACTTTCACATGCTGCCTTAGTCCTTATTGCAATAGGCAGAGCCAATAAGGGTCTCTTCTTACCGGGCAGTAAGAGAGGCATGGAAAACAGAGAGGAAACAAAGTATGCAAATTCCTGAAGGGCTGGACCAGACAAGTCTCACTTGGGAGACCCCCCCACCCTCCACTCAATCTCCTTGCAGCAGCCAAAATGTCTTCCTAAAATGCAAACTCGATCAGATCCCTTGGCCACTGGGTAAACTCTCTGGTTCATTCCCCTCTGGATGGAGTCTGTCTGCCATCTTCCTCTGGTATTCAAGGCTCTCTAAGACCAGAACTCAGGTCTGCCTTTCAGTTCCTGGAACAAGCAATGCTCCCTGCGCCCTTGTGTGGGAAGCAGGGGCTCTTTCTCCATCCCCATCTCCACGCAGAAGCCTCCTGGATTCCCAAGGCAGGTCAGGTGTGTTCCGAGCCCCCCACACCCCGCACCCTGTGCTTCTCACTAGGTTGTAACCACCTGCTGACTGACCTATTGCCCCCTCCCTTTACAAATAACCCAAGGGCAGGGTCACATCTGTCTTGCTCACTGTTGTGTCCCCACAACACGCAATACAAGTATGCTGCAAATGGGCAGGTCAAGCGCATGGCTTCTGCCCTCAGGGGTTTACTGGGACAAGGACAGAGCATCTGCATGTGGCTCCCCCAGACAGCTTCATCTGCTGATAAACCCTTTCAGGCGACGACAAGGACAGTTATTTTCCGAGCACCTACTATGTACCAGGCACTGTGCTAATTAATAGGTTATTTACATCCATGATCTCATTTAATCCCCCAACAAACCTGCGGGGAAGTGTCACCCTTACTCCATAGGTGAGGAGCCGAGGCTCAGGACCACTAACAGACTGGGCACCACGGCTGTGCTACCTTCACTGTCCTGACCTGGACCCCACACTGTCCTGCTGCTTCTCAAAGGCTCAAGTCCTAAGAGCAAATGACCCATTTGACAGGTGGGCAAAGTGAGGTACAAGGAGGCCAGCAGCTCACTGGCCAGAGCTGCTGTTATAGGATTAGCAGTGCTACCTGCTTCCAGAAGAGGGACTTGCCCTGCTGCCCTCAGCCACCCAGACCCGTCTCCCCATCCAGCCCCAGCCCCAGCCCCAGAGAGAGGCCCGCATACTTGGCCCGATTTTCTGGAATGGTTCTGGGGGCTCCTCCTTCACCTCGTCAGTGGCCACGACACCTTGGTCGAAGGGGTCTGTGGGAGAACACACAGCCCTTAGTGCCCTGGTAACCAGGTCCCAGAGCCCAGCTGGGGACAGGGAGGTGGGCAGTGACCAAGGACTTACCTGCCCGATTCTCAGGGGCCCCTTCCACACTAAACACTGCGCCCGGGTGGGAGTGGCAGCCGCAGAAGGAAGGAAGGAAACAGGAACCCTGTTAGTCCCTGCCCACAGCCGCCTCTGCCCAATGCTCCCAGCCTCTGCCCAGCAAGCTTGCCTCTGGGGCCCAGGAGAGCCGCCTTAGTCATCGTGGATGCCCCAGAAAACCAGGGGCCACAGGAGGGCACATGCCAACCAGGATGCAGCCTGTACCACAGTCCCCGTCCTCCCCATGGCCTGGGGCCCACCCTGGGGCAGGAAGATGCTTTCTGGCCAACCTGTTTCTGGATCACTGGCACCCGCTCAAGGGGCCAGGGCAGGAGAAACAGAGGAAGAGATGGTGGGTGGGGAGGAGAAGAGAAAAAGAGGTGAGAGGAAGGACGGTGAAAAAGGTGGTGGCACCTGGTTGTCACAACTTGACATGGGCTGTGTGTGTGGGGCTGCAGAGGAAGCCCTCAAGATCTTTTCCAAGCCCAAGACTATTTCTATGATTCTCGAGCTTCCAAAAATAAATTACCTATATTTATCACTCTAATTTCTAACTCTATAATCTAAGATGCTAAAATACCATCATTCATTTTAAAAAATTGGTTTAATTTCACCAGAACATGTGAATACTCAACATGAAGCCGTAAAAATGAGTCAATATGAAATTGCTGATATGCGACTGATTTTGACCTACAAAAACGGCAAGTGCACTTGGGTTACCCTTATCAGAAGTACATACGGAGTATGAAGGGGACCTTCTCCTGCCTAGAATCCTCGGAGGCTGGTCACCCTGCTCGTGGTCTGGCTGCTGCCTGATCTTCCCTGGGAAGGAGGAGGGAGGGGAAGCCGTGGCTGGGGTGGGGGCCCGAGAAGCAGCCCTGGAGGGGTCTCTTTATGTGACTCCGTTCCCCGGCAGTCAGGAGCCTGACTCACCATCCACTGCGTGCAGGTCTCGGTGCTCCTGGAAACAGCTGTAGTATTTGTACTTCTTCCCACAGATGTCACACGTGTACCTGAAATTGTCTGTGGGGGGATGGTAAGGCACGTGGTTACCAGGGCTTCAGTCACTTGGGGCTGGGGGAGGCGGAGGGGGTTTGGGCGAGACTGGGCCCAACAGGGGATCCCATGGAGAACAGCTCCTGGAGCGTTAGGAGTCTTCTGTACAAAGAGGCCGAGGAGCCCTGAAGTCACTTTCAAACCCACCCCATGTGAGCTGGGCTCCTAAGGGCCTGGGGTGGTCATAACTGGCCCTCTTCCTTTGTGAAATCATGGGAGATTAGCAATCACTGCAGCTCCGACTTCCTGGGCGCCGCACTGCTAGGTGCCAGGCCGGCAGCCTCCCTGCATTTCCCCCATTAGTCCTTATAACTGAGGCAGGAAGCAATAAACCCATGTAACACATGAGGCTGCTGAGGATCAGAAGGGGCCCGTTGTGGATGACTCCCAACGACCCTGACCATTGGCGTCCACGTCCTGTGCAGTGCCTGGGCCAGACCCAGTGGCCTGCTTCCAATGGAGAGAATGCAGTCAGGTGATGGGATGTCACCTCTGAGACTAAGTTACAAAAGTTTGTGATTTCTGTCTTGCTCACACCATCTCGCTCTTGCCAGCGGCCCTGCTGTCCAGCTGCCTCACAGAGAGATCCACGGGGCAGCCTCTGGTGAAGACCAGGGGGGAGCTGAGGTCCTCAGCCCCACAGCCTGGGAAGGATGGATCCTGCCAACAACCACAGGAGGGAGTGCAGAGGCAGCCCCTCCCCTGGCTGAGCTTTGCCACAAGCCCACAGCCCTGGCCGACACCTTGACTGCAGCCTCGTGGGAGAGCCAGAGGACCTGGTGAAGCCCTACCCAGATCTGACCACAGAAACAGTGAGAAAATCGATGTCTGTTGCTTTAAAAGTCATTAAGTTTGGGGGAAACGTTACATAGCAATAAACAATGACAGGCCTGAGTCTGCGTGAGCCCCTCGGTCTCTCCAAAGCCAGAGGCTAGACTCGTACAGGACGCTGCCCCTGCCACAGCACCAACCCTGTCCAACGTCTGTCATGCAAAGACCTTGTGTGTGCGTTCCTTGGGCTGATCCAGGGATGCTATCCACCTCAGCTTCCTGAGGATGCCCAGCACAAGGAGGCTGGCGGCTCACTCCAGGCTGCACAGTGGGGCAGGGAATAGCCGGGATTCAGATGTTCACTTAACTCCAAGCCATGGCTGGCCCTTCTCTGTCCAAATAAACTACCCTCCACTCCTGGGCTGGGGTCCCAGTCTCCTGGCACCTCTTCTGCTCCTCACCCAAACACAGGACCTGACGAGATGCCTCTATCCAGAATTGCCAGGCAATTCTGTGGGAGGGTTTCTGGCCCTCACTTAGCTGAACTTAGGGACACAGGTGACATTAGCCATCTTCCTGCACCTGCCTCCACCTCTTCCACGTCACCTGCATTTTCTGAATGTGCCTGGACAGATGCGGGGCCTCAGAGACGAACTGGTCTCCGTGTGAGGCACACACAAACACTCTGAGGGTAGAGGGACCAGGCAGGGTCCAGGCATGACACCATCCTACCAGGCCCTATCATCTCCATGCCTCTGCCCACAACAGCCACGCAGTGGTCGGGGACGGGTGCTGGGGTGTGGGAGGAGAAGCCTGGTCCTGCCTTGCCTCACCCAGCCTGCCAGCAAGTGCCAACCCACTTTGGGATTCAGCGTCCCCATTTTCCCCCTAATTTGGGGGATGGTAGAAGATGAGCTGATTCTCAGGGACTCTAGTAGGCTAGATGTTCCAGGATTCCAAGCCTGGCTCAGGCTTCAATCCTTCCCCAGGGCCAGCAATCTAGCAGAGACAACCCTCGCCCCCAACCATTATGTCCCATCTGGACCATAATCCTGCCTGGTGCTGGACAGCTGGGGAACACAGGTGGGAAAGTCAAGGACATTTGGGGTGTGTTGGTTCCAGATGGGGTCCTACTCCTGCAATTCCTCTCCCATAATGGTCAGTACTGGTCGCCCCACCACCACCACCTGCCTGATTCACTCGTCTTATCTCTGTCCACACAGCTTCTCCTACCAGCTGGGCCACGTCTGCCACCGCCAATAAAATCTGAACCCCAAGTTTTCTGCCACTGAGAAACATCCCCCACCTTGCTCTGTCAAATCCCAAACCACTGCGTCGCCTCACTATGGACAGGACCACATTCCTGGGCCCACCCAGGGCAGGAGTGAATTAGGACAAAAGAGTTACCCCAAAGGAAGAAAGGCAAAATGATTTTTTGTCAGTGAAACCACATCTTTAGAACCCAAAGAAAGCTCAGCGTCTTCAGGAATGTCATTGCGATTCCGTTTTGGGAGGCAGGCTCTGGCGTCAGGCCACCCAAGCTCAAACCCAACTCCACCACTTACAGGAGCCACTAATGTTAGAAGTGCTGCCTAACCTCTGCACCTCGGTTTTCTTATCTGTAAAATGGGAGTGATAATTCCTTTATCTCCCAGTTGTTAAATAAAGAATAAATGAACACAATGCCTAACATACAATAACCACTTGGTAAAAGTTACCTAACATTTTTGTTCTATAGAGGGAATCAATATGACAGTGGCAAGAGAGCCGGATGTGGAGTTAATCTTTTATCTTCTTGGCTGAGAGATGGGTAACTGGGCGTACGGCTCTGTGTATGACTGTACCCCTTTTCTAACAAATAAGAGGAAGATCCCTGGACTAGACGGTGTGAGACCTGTTTTCCATGCTCACCTCCACCCCTAAAAGCTGCTGCGTGACTTCTCTCTGAGACTGAGCATCCTCATCTGCAAAAACATCAAGGCTGGACTTGACATTCAACAGGACTCCAAGGCCAGGCTCTGGTTACGAGGCTGGGGTGTGAGGATGCCCGGCTCTCTGAGCAGGCACTGCTGGCCTGGGTCAGGGCAGGGGTGCAGGACTGAGACTCAAATAAAGCACGCTGGCCATGGGGAGAAAGTTCCACGGGCAGGAAGGGAAAAGTGATGGCAGGACTAAAAATACTGCCAGACACGAAGCCCTCAACAACCAGTGAGCCTCGGGGAACAACGGAAGCCAGACGGAGCACAACGGATCATTGAGGGGCTGCCGGAGAGGCCGGCCGGGGGCCCAGAATAGCCGAGGAAGGAAAGATAAATAGGGAAGTTCTTTAACTGTGCGGCTGACCACAGGCAAGCGATGGGAGCGGGAGGAGAAGGGAGCTATTGAGGGAGAAGGAGCCAGGGGCCAGGCGGGGCAGGGCGGGGCTCGGGGAGGAGACACAGGACCTCGCCTCCTCCTGCTGCGGGCCCTTGAGCAGGTGTCTGGCCCACCTGAACTTCAGACTCTCCAGAAATCGGAGGGGTGGCCTCAGCCCTGCCGGCCTCTCACATGGTATAAGACCCCACAGAGAGAGCGGATGAGAAAGTGCCTCAGAAGAAATGCGATTAGGACCCAGCGCAGTTAAGGCCCTGCTTTGGCCCCACACACCTCCTGAAACTGCTTTGCTTTCTTTCGATTTTGGGGGCGGGACATGTGTATTATTTTAAGAAACGTTTTCTGGTGGCATAACAAACAAGTAGAACAGGGAATGACACATTCTGGCCCGCCCGCCACCTGTTTAGGGAAGGGACTCAAGTCCACACTGCTTCTGGCTGCGTTCCTGCTCCGTGACAGGGCTGAGCAATTGTCAGGAAGATGTCTGGCCTGCAAAGTCTAACATATTTACTATTTGGTCCTCCTACAAAAAAAATACCCCTGATGTAGAAAAATGTACAAATCCTAAATGTTCAGCTCGTTAAGTTTTCAGAAACCAAAAACACCTGTGTAGCCAGTGCCCAGCTCAAAGCCACCAGGAAGCCCCTTCGCCAGGGTATAACAATGACTCTGAATTCTTCCAGTGTGAATTCGTTTCCCCTGTTCTGGCACTTTCTGCTCACAGAGTTTGGAGGGGGAACACTTCAGTGCCAGGCTCCTTTTGCTAACATCCTGCTTGGGGGTAATCCACGTTGCTGTGTGCAGCTGTAAGTCTCCCCTCACTGCTGTACCGTCATCCTTTGTGGGAAAACACCATGACTTACGCATCTATTCCACGAGCACTGGGCTCTCGGGTGGTTTCCAGTTTGAAGCTGTTACCAGCTGTGCTGCTAAGACATCCTAATTCCCATCTCTGGGTGGACGTGCACACATTCTTCAGTCAGGGACCCATCTAGGAGTGGAACTGCTGGATTCTGGAGCTCAGGTTTGTTGTGAGGGGAGAGGTTGCACCCCAGCCTACACCCGTCTGGCTGGCTGCCTACCAAACCCAGTGTGTTTAGACCTGGAGGGAGGGCAAGCGGGGCCCACGAGCAGCAAAGCAGACCACCAACCCCAGATGCCAAGGCCCTGTGTGCCCCAGGTGCTGGGCTACCGCACCCCAGGATTAGTTCCCATGGGTGCACCTGGAAGAACTCCGAAGTAGCATTTTCCAAACATCAGCTATGGCGCCTAGACCCATGAGTGGGAGTCAAAAGCACAGAGGAAATGGTACACACTGGGACCCTCTTGGGGGTGCATGTGTGTATTTTGCCAATGAAGGGCCCGGAGAAATCTACAGCAAAGACACAGATTCATCTCAGCAGAACTCAAGGTTTCCCCAGGTTATCTGGCCAGACAACCCTTTATTGACAGAACACCTGTTAACTTCCCCAGGATGGCTGTGCCTTGGAGCACACTTTGGGAAAGGCTGCTCTGAGGTCCTGTCTCCAAAGCCAAAGCCTGGACCACAGCAACGTGCCTCCCAGAGGCCACTTGGGGCCGTCCTGGGTGTTGGGTTGAGAGCATCACACCCAGCCCCAGCCCTCCCTCCTCCTCCTCCCCCATTGGCTCTCAGCCCCCGAGCCCACGAGGAGGGAAAATACTCACTGCCTTGGGAGGCTCCCTCCCCTGAGGTGGCTTCTGTGTCTGTGAGAGAGAGAAAGAGAAGGAGGTGAGCAGACTGGACCACCGGAAGGGCCAGCACCAAAACAGAGAGAAGCCACTACCACGTGCCCAGGGGTGCTCTGCTCCCGTTCAAGGTGCAGGAACAAAGCCATCCCTGTGCCCCCTGCTGGCCATCAGGCCCTGACTCAGTACCCTTTCTGCTTGCCAGGCTCAGACTCAGGGGCACACAGGTGCTATGTCTCCTGTTCCCTCAGCCTCTGCGTCCTCATCTTCATAATGGCGACAGCGCCCCGCCCCACCCCCGAGGCTGACATGAGCAGCACATGAGATGATACAGGAGCACCTTCCCGGCAGAAGCCCAGACACCACGCGGCACTGGCGCATCTGGGGAGGAAGCGGGCTGTGCGGGCCAGGCGGGGGCACTGGTGGCATGTCCTGCTGACTCCACCCCCACCCCCCATCGGTGCTCTCCCAAGTTAAGGAGGCCTCCCCTCTCCTCTTCAGGTCCTACTCCTATTGCAGAAAGAGGGAGGAGATTAGGGAAGACTGGAGCTCAGAGGGCCTCTGGGGTCACCCTCGGGGAGCCCAGGTGGAAAATCAGGCAGAGGACAGGCAGGTGCAGCCCCTCAGCTCTGCCCCAGGGACACACCACTCACCTCGGTGTGCCCGAACGTGGGTCTGGAAACAGTTGTAATACTTATACTTCTTGCCACAGATTCCACACTCATAGGACCCTGGAAAACAGGAAAGGAAGGGGCTGGTCAGCCAGCATCCAACATGTGCAAGCACGAAGCCCCGGGACCTGCAGCGATGCCTCCAGGTCGCACCAACTCTGCGTCCCTGGGCTGTCTTGTCCCCGCAAGCAAAGAAGCAGCAACAAGGACCAGCGAAGGCAGTGCTGAGCTGGAAGCCAGGAGGCTGGGGTCTTTCTGGGTTTTTGTCTCAACCTTCTCGATGACCTTGGGGAAGTCACTTCCCATCTCTGGGCCTCAGTTTCCAAATATATAAGACGGAGATGGTAACTTCTTAGGTAACTCACACTTACTCCTTGAGAGGAAAAAGGAGATGAATATAAAAGAATTTCAGAATAAGGAATAAATTCCATCCATGTAAGAAAATCATCACTCAGATGCAAGAGAATAATTTATAGCTTGTTCTCCTCCTTGCTAGGAGGGACGGAGGTTAAGAGGACAGGCTCTGACCCAGACACGTTTGGGTCCCTGTCTCTGCTCTGCCACTTACCAGCAGCATGACCTCGGTAATTTCCTTAAACACACTAAGGCTCAGTCTGCTCATCTGTAAAATACCTCATAGGGGTGACCCCACAAACCCCCTGGGAAGTGCCCAGCCCTACTACAGATGTGTGTGACAAGGGGAGGTCCCCTCTCGTCTGCCGAGGAGCTATCTTGTTTCCGCAGATGTGCAGAGACCAACACGGTGTGAATGCCTGACTCCAGCGCTCTGCCAGCTCCTTCTCCCAGAAGCAGGTGGGCTGAAACGGCTGAGCTCCAGCAGGCACTTCAGACAAGTGAGAGGCAGAGCCCACCCGTGCCCAGCACAAGGCAGGGTCAGGGTCTGAGCAGAGCCCATCAGACCCAGCCTGGCAGGGGTCCCAGGCCCTGCACATCCCTCATGTAGGCCTGCCGCCACCCAGGCTCAGGCCCCATCCTTACTCACAGAATGGGCCGGAAGCCTGCACACACACAGAGGCCCTGCCCCCATTCCAGGCTAAGTGGACCAGAATGGCCAGGGCCAGGGGCCTAGGAATCTGCCTTTCCCTGAAGCATCCTCAGAGGATTCTGAAGCCCAGCAACCAGAGTGGAACTACTAGTTTAAAGTCAGACAGACCTGGGATGGAGTCTCAGCTCAACCACTGACTGGCCAGGCCTCAGTTTCCTCCTTGGAAAAGTGTGGACAATGTAAGGGCACGGACGTGAAGACTGAATGAAGCATGAATAGTGTTCCTACCAGGACCCCAGACCCTCAGCAAATGGGGGATCACCAACCCCTACCGCCTGTGGCCTCACTTGGGGCACAGGCCTGCTCACTGAGTGGGAACTCCAGATGTCAGATTAAGTGAGAAGAGCACTGGGCTTGGCGTCTGACTGTGAGATCAGCTCGGCCATCCCCTCGCTGTTCGATCTCAGGCCCAGGTCTTCTCCGGTCCAAGCCTCGGTTCCTCACCTGTCTAACAGGACCCCGATTCCTACACCCCATGACTGAGGTCAGATGAATGCGCTATACAACACGTGAGTCGGCTGGCGCACCAGTGGCATCACCACTTTGCTGCTGTGGTCCAAACCAGCATGCAACTTAGCAGCCTGTTCTTCAGTGGTTTTGTAAGTTACCCTTGTCTCACTGGGAAAAATATAAACACATGGAGGGCAAAGACCAGAGTGTGTATTTCTTCATCTTTAGCCCTGTGACTGGCACACGGGGTGGGGGGGCGGTGTCAGTAAATTCATGGTGTCTTGCTGTTCAACTCATCTGTTACTGAGTAATCATGCCCCTGACTCCCTTCCTGTGTCTGCACCCATTCAACAGTTTCTGCTAATTCTGCTTCAACCGATCAAGAATTTACTGAGTATCTTCCATGTGCCGGGCACTGAGGCCCCAACCCCGAGCAAGATGCAGTCGCTGCCTTCCACTTGATGGGAAGCAGACAGTCCACCAGGCAAGGGGATGTGCAGGGTGACAGTGCAGGCAAGTGCAGGATCTGATGGGTACAGGGCGGGACCCTGACACAGCCACAGCAAGAGGCTGGAGTCAGGGGACTGGAGCAGGGAGAAGGGAAAGGCGAGGCAGGGGGGCAGGCACCCCAGGGAAGGAGGAGTCTCTCTCCAAAGGACCCAAGCCACAGCCTGTGACACGGGAAGACTTGTTCAGACTTGACACACTTCTGGATGAGGTCTCTAACCCCAACTCTGCCTCTTTCTGCCACAAGACCTGGGCCTCAGTTTCTCTAACTGCCCTCAAGGATATAAGGTCTCTTCTCAAACTGTACAGTAAGTGTAGGCTGATGCACAGAGCCTGCAGGCTGCAATGTCCCCCCGACTCACCCACCCAGTTGACACTGTTTATAAGCAGGCCAGTTCCACTGGCTTCTCCCTCACTGCACAGAGCTGCGGGCACATGCAGCCTTGCTCACAGGCCTCAACCCATTCAGAGAATCACAGGGGCCCAGTTTGCCAGCCTGGGGCCCTCTCCTGGCCCCATAGCAGAGTGAGCCCCTTGGCTGGAACACTGAGTCTCAGGACCAAGCACTGTGTCTTGGCAGGAGGGGCACTTGACTTCAAGGCCCTGCCTGCCCCCTACTCACCCTCAGACCCTAGGCTGCAAGTGTCCTGTCTGCAAAAGGGGCTGGATGGGCAGAGAGGTGAGGGCCGGGGCGTGGGGAGAGTGCAACAGAGTGGTGCCCCCCTAGTGCAGTGGTGTCCGCAAACCTGGGTTCAAATATCAGCTCACCATGTACCAGCCAGGGGCCAGACAAGTCATGGAAACACCCACACCTCAGGCTTCCTCTCTGTAAAATAGACACAGCAAACGGTTCCCACCTCAGTTGCGGGGTGGAGGTATGAGCAATACTACCGTGGCCACTTAGCACAGCGCCCAGTACAAAGCAGGCACTCGATAAAGGACAGGTGCTGTTACTGTCAGCATTTGCCAAAGTTCTCTGGAACCCAACTTCCTGAAGGCGTCCTGGGGGAGGGGCCCAGATCGAGTGAGTAGGAGGCATGACCTGCCTGGGGAGCCGCGCGAGGCTCAGAGAGGTCCTGTAGCAAAGGAACCCAGCTGACTGTTAACCCCAGGCCTCCCAGCGAATCTGGCCACGGAACTGCTTTATCCCTCGGCCTGTTTCAGAGCTGCAGTCCAGAGTAAGTGCTGCCAAAATGGTCCCGACATTCCTGAGTTCCAGATTTCCACACGCTCTACCATCCCTCCAGCGGCACATCTTTCAGGGCCCTGGTCAGGCTCAGGTTTGCTGATCCATGGCAGTGGCAGGGTGGAGGAGGTGGGCCCCTGTGTCCCTGCAGATGCTCGCAGGTCCTGCAGTTGATGGCTACACTCAGCCGTGCTCCCATCCTCATGCTGGCCCCGATCAGGTCCTCCTGCCCCTCAGCCATCACATACCAGACGTACACCTCAACGCTTGTTCAGAAATCCAGGTCCCTGAACACCAGCTTCGCACATATCTGCCATAGGAGCTGCCTTCAGGTGCTTTTCCATCTGAATTGTGTAAGAAATCAGAAACAGCCCTTAAAGATGGGGCAGCCCGGAGAGGGGCCAGGTGAGAAGGACTCCGAATCTAGGGTTGGCCATTCACCCGAGCCCTCAGGGCTCTGGTTTCCCCAACTGCACACCGAGAGGAATTGGACAGGATCATGTTGTCTACTTTTTCACTAAAGAGCTTGCGCTGGCCAAGGGGCAGCCACGCACTCCCAAGGGAGGCTGGGGGATGGCGGGAGGCAACAGCCACAAACCCAGATTCCCCTGAGGCTCTATGTTTCTCCTGTCCTGATTCATAATATGGATACAACATAAAATTATCCATTACGTGGTTATAACCTAACACTTCTCCCCGTAACCCTTCCAGCAAAATGACAGGGAGGACGGTCCCATGTATGTTGTGGCCTTGTGTCCCCTGGCCCATGGCCACCATGTACCCTGTTGCTGCAGTGGGGCACAGGAGGGCCTTCTTCAGGACCTTCAGTTCAGGTGGTCCCCGTCCTCGCTGCCTGTCTCCCTGCCTAGCCCGCTTCCTCCCTCTGATGCATTCCCCAACTATCCTCCTGTCTTTGTCGCCATCACTCCCTGCCTACAAAGTGCATGCGCTGCAACTCATCTCACTTGCGCCTCTTCAACATCTCTGTGCAGGCTGACCTCTGACCCCAATGTGCAAGTGTGGAAGCAGACGCCCAGGCAGTGGGCAGCAACTTGCCCACTTCACACAGCCAGCTAGTGGGAGCAGGGCTTGGATTTGGGAGCTTCTCACACATCAGCTCAGTGCATCCTCACAAGTCCAGCAGAGAAAGGTGATTATTCTCCCCATTTTTCAGAGGAAGGGCAACACAACAGGCCAGAGGTTGCCCAGATCTGTCCTGCTCTAGACCCCATGTATGTGCAACTACCACATGGTCAGCCCTGGGAGGGCACCCAGAAGAGCTAGTGTCTCTTACCGTTTGCCATTTATTGAGTACAGCCAGGTGTTTCTAGCCTCCACCTTCCCAGAAGTCCTCACGTGGTTGAACAACTTAATGCCCACTTCAACCATGAGGCTGAAAGTTCTAGAAGCCAGGTGGTCCAGGGCTGGGGCTATTCAGCTAGTGCTGGTGAGGAACTGGGCTCAAAGCTGGCCTTCAGGGATCCAGAGCCATCCTACTGCCACCATGCCAGGTGACCTCTGGATCCCAAGGGAACCATGACCCCTTCAGTCATGGGGCTCCCCCTAACAATGCAGGGCAGCAGACCCCCCACCGTGTCTGGTACCACTGCAGGACTCCCCAGGTCCCCTATCAAGATTCTTGGGAGCGACTGCAAGGGACGGCTGGCAGGACACGCCAGCACACGGGAGCTGGCCTTCTCCTTCCCCTGTCTTGCTGTCACAAGTGACACCACGGTAATCAACAGGTGCTGAGTAAGAGCTCTGTCTAGTATTTTCTCTAACCACCTGGCAGAGAGCCTGACTTAGCTCCTGCCCCAAGAGCACTGGACAGACCAGGTGTGTCCAGGTGAC